GTCTGGCTAGCCAAACGGCGAACTCAAAAAGAATTTGCTGCTATGCCAAACTTGACAGAAACAATAATAAACAAGTTGGTGACTTATTTTTTTTTTTGCAATATGGGCCGTGTAGTATTTTGAAATAGGAAAAAATCCGGCAACATTGCGAAATGATGGGTGTGGAAAGGCGTGATTATTCAGAGGCATGATTCTATTGGTTAGGGTCTGAACGACAGCACCAGTGGCGTGGTTATTCGTGGAGGAGATAATGTCCAGATGGAGTTACTGCACCGTGCTTGAAAAATCAAATAATGTAGACTTCATTGTGATAGATATGATTCCTCAGTATAAAACAATACAGGAGCTTGGTCAAACTACCACTGCTGACGAAACTCGAACAGCCAATAAAAAGCTTAAAAACAATAAAGCAGCAAGTCCTGAAGTCCCAATCCCGCGAAAATACAAAGCTATTGCCTAGCTAGTGCCTTGATAAAATTTGGGCAAGTGAAAAATCCCACAAGACTTCAGAGAGGCCGATATAATAAACATCTACAAAAATTAAAGGATCCGCTTTCGACTCGACTGCAACAATTATCTCGGGATATAGGTACTCTCTGTAGCAGGTAAAATTCTGTTCAAGATATTGGCCGACAGACTGCAGCCAGTAATAGACAAAATAATTCCAGTAGAGTGAAAGCAGATTTTGGTCAAACAGAGGAAATTTTGGTCAATTTTTGTACTTCGACAAATGTAGGAAAAACCTAGAGAATAGTAAACTGAACTCCATGTCGCATTTTTAGAGTTGGCTAAAGCCTTCGATTCAGTGAATCGCAAAGCGAATCATGAGACGGTTTGGAATCCTGGAAACATGCATCACCTTAGTAGAAAACCTACACAAAAACAATACTTCGAGAGTTCTAATGGTCAACTATCCGAACCTTTCCAAGCCAAGACTGGAGTAAGGCAGGGCTGCGTTTTGGCGCCTTCACTTTTCAACCATGTTTCTCGCTGCTCTATCAATCATTTTAGATAAAAATTTGATTGCCAGAGGATTTGGTATTCGATACAGATATGATGGTTCAATTTGAAGCATCTTCGTGCCACTACAAGAACCAGAGTCAAATTCATAACCGACTTCCAGTCGCGGATTACTGTGCGTTGATTTCTTACTCAGCGGAAATTCTGCAAGAATTATTGAACATCTATGCTGCTGCCAAGACTCACTAGACTCTTAAAGGTCTAAGCCTCAGAACCAAAGAAGCCATGTATAAAGCTGTCATTTCACCAACGTTACTGCACGGCTGTGAGTGGAAACGCCATTTGGAAGCGATAGAAAAACTTCAACAACGACACCTTCATCAAATTACGAGAACTCTCTGGTTTTCCAAAGTATCAAATTCCGAGGTTCTCTGCGGGATCAATTGCATGAACATAGAGGTTTTGGTGAGGAGAGCAAGGCTGAGATGGCTGGGTCACGTCTCGAGGATGGAATAACAGCGGTTGCCAAAGTTACTTCTGTATGGAGAACTAACTGAAGGAAAAAGACGACAAGGTGGACAGTACAACCGATTTAAGGATGTAGTACACGACGACCTAAAAGCCTAGAGTACCAATAACAATTGGAAGGAGCTTGTTCAAAATCGCAATGATTGGAGAAGGGCCATTTACTCTGAGCTACTACAATCCAGAGAGAAGGTAAGAATAACATCATTCTCTCTGACGCTCAGAGATTTGGATCTGCACCGATCTCTCTAGGAATTTTCTTTTAAGAGTTTATCAATAGCCATATAGGAAGGTGGAGCAGCAGAAACTATTAAAATGGTTGAATTTAATACCCAATTATGTCGCAAGGAAGAGTAGGAAGTCCACAAATGCAATATATGCAGCTAAGAACAACTATTGGAAGCGGACAAAGATGTAGTAAAGATAAAAAACCAGGAGGAGCAGCAGAAGCACTGAAACAAGAAAACTGATGAGGCAAAGTTTTCCGAGGAATAGGAAATTAATTACAGCGGAATGTAGAGAAATCAATGAAAACACAGATACCTGAAGAAAAACAATAAAGCAAGGATACAATGCCAACAGGTACAGACCAAATGATTCCCTGCTAGAAGATGATCTAAAACTCTTCATAAAAACCATAACAAGCCTTGCTGCCAACCAGCAAAATCCTATTGTAGCTGGCGACTTTAACCTTCCTAGAATTTCATGGCCTCTGACGGTTCTGGGTCTATTAAGCCCTTTCATAGGACAAACTCTAACAAACTTAGGTCTACAACGTCCAGATCATCACCGGTTACAGAGAGGGTCAAACTCCATGACTCTTTGATCTGGTCATCGTTAATGACACACACCTTATCACCAAACATGAGCATTCATCACCCATCGGAAAATCAGAGCACGAACTATTAAAACTGACACTGCAAACAGGACAGGACACACACAGATTAAAAAGCAACAGTACATAGAGTGAAACACATCAATTATGAAGGTATAAATCATCATATATCGCAAATCAACTAGGAAGAATTCCTCTCTGATGACCATTTGAACTGCTGGACACCTGAACTTACACATACAGATTTTTAGACAAAATTCAATTCTATCGCCTCGTATATCAGAACCCGTAACCCGGCAAGTAGCATTATTCAGAAGAGACAGACTACTAAAATCCAAAAGCCGAGTTAAAAATACTTTATTCGTGTCGTAAATATGAAACTTTGAATTTTGCCTAAAAATCTCTATGTGTAAGTTTAGTCCAGAGAAGTTTAGATCAAGTATGGGCCAGCTTTCACTCAGAACTAGAGACAATATTAAATAGCGACACCGAATACAAAACTAAAAGAGTGAATGACCTGAAACCATTGATAAATTGATAACTAACAACCCCAATTGAGACTGTATGAGAAAAAGGTACTTACATACCAACAATCCCACTGACTACAGGGAAAATCGCAACCTTCTCCAACACTTTAACACAAAAGCAGCTAAGCTGGCATACATTGACAGCCTAAAAAACTTTGAGAACCTCAAAAAATTACACAAGTAGGTACATAAGATCACAACTAAACACCAAAGTAGGCATCCCTATTTTAAAATCTCTAAATCTGTAAAAAAACATCTTAAAGAAGATAAAAGTCCTGAAGGTTGCCAGCTCTCCAGAGGTATGGACGGAGTATCCTCATTAGTTCTTAGAAAGGGTTCAAACAACCTTGCTGTTCCCCTGTGTAAAATAATGAAGATATCACTGAAGTAAAAAAGGCCCACCGCCGCTTGGAAAGTTGCATCAGGCATACCGATATACAAAAAAGGTGACAAACTTTGGACCAAAGACTATCTTACAAACAGAGAGTACTTACAAAGTCAGAGTTGGCGACATACTATGAACTCTATCCAGTACAAAGTGGCGTACTCCAAGGATCAGGGGTATCTCTGTTGTTTCCAGCTTACACTATAGTTCTCCTCAACCCAAAATATCAACATGTGCAGCGTTCGTCGACGACATAAAAACCTATATGGTCCTACCAACAATTCGGACTGATTTAAACCAAATTGAGGAGTAGCGTGAAGACTGGCAACTACCCCTTAATGTGTAAAATTGTGTGATATTCTATCTTGGGAAAAATAAACCAGGAAATTAATACACCATCAATGGGTCAGTACTGGTCAGTGCTCAGCAACACAATGACCTTGGAGCTCTGATAACCAAAAATTTGACCTGGTCAGCACATGTAATAACAATATGCAGAAAAGCCAACAGTAAGCTATTCCTCCTAAAGAAGGTATTTCGAACCACCCTCCAAGAAGCGTTTACAAAACTGTACTACATATACTCAGGCCAATCCTAGGATATGCAGGTCAGGCCTGGCAACCACACCCCATTAGAAACCGCAATCGCATTGAAGCAATACAGAGAAAAGCAACACGATTGCAACTTGGTAGAAGAAGACCTACATGTGAGGAAAGATTAGAACAACAAAAACTGTTGAGCTTCCAAAATACAAGAACAAGAGGAGATCTCATCTTCACCTATCAAACACTCAATAACAACATTCAAATTATTAGACACCTCTATGCCTTGAACACAGACCAGAGACTCTGGGGTCTCAGTCCAAAAGTAAAAAAACAAAAGTTACTCCACAGTGTTTAGGTAGAATTTGCTACCAAACAGAGTCTGTCCTCTGGAATCAACCTCCAGCTGAAACAGTAAGTGCTACTTCAGTGTCAGTATTTAAGACAAAACTTGATAGTCAGTTCCCATATAGTGCTTAAACCAAAGCAAACAGTAAAAACTAACAGTTCTAAAACAATTGATAAGAAATAGTACAAAAATGGGCTTAGGTTTCACCTCAGCCCATATCAACTAGAGTAGTAGTAATAGCATTAAATAGTAATAGTAATGGGTGGTACCAACAAAATCATGCGCATGAATGATGAACATGGAAAAAAAGAAATGAACAGTAATAAAATGGCTTCATGTGGAAAGCTTCTATCGGTTATTAGGTACAAAAAAATAGCAGATATCGAAGAATTTGAGATCGAATTGAACTGAAAAACAACAAATCCAGGGGAATATGGAGTGACCGCTAAACTGCAGAAAGAAGAAAATATGAGGCTATCGTATCCACACTGACATACAATTTAACCTATATGTCTAAAAAAAATGAGCAGATTCGATTTGAAATCGAATCATTCTAAGGTCGGATGGGAAAATGTCATTGCATGGGTTCTCTGGCAGTTTCTCGCCTTTTCTGCAAAGTTTTGCGTCACCAATCCATCAAAAATATTCATATCCACTCGAAGAGCACCAAAACACAGTAAAATATTCTCTCTTAACCGATTTAGATTTACGGCCAAGATGTGGGAATAGTTGTGCGCCCTCGTTAATGATTTTTAATGTTATTTTCTTTCTCATCGTCTGCGCTCCTGAGAATCTGGACTTCCACTGACAAAATATGTACTTGACTAACCTGCAACCAAATTCGACTGTGCGCACTAAATTTGTTTGCATGTTTCTATTATTTTAAATCACCCCATTCTTTTATAAATATCATTACCTTCAGTACAAATAAACTGGCCACACAAGTAAATCCCATGAGACAATCCGGCACACTCGTTTCGGAAATATGTTCAAAAATTTGCCTCCACACCAAAACGAATTTGTCACCAGGATATCCCAAACCTAACAAATCTTTGACTTGCGTTGTAGCCACAATAATAGCAGCTGCTGACGTGAAAGCTATCGCTACAGGGCCTGATATAAAGTCAATCAAAAAACCTAGAAGAAAGATAATTAACAGATGAAGTTGATTGTGCTCATTCTTACCTAAATGTAAGACTCCCATAGCAAATTCAACACAGCCACTCAGAAAGCAAAGTAAAATAGCTCCGGGTACACCCAAATTATGCTTATTTTCTCTTACCAGCAAGCCTTCTATAGCTGTTGGGCCTACTGGTGAGTCCTTACTACTTCCAAATATGGCGTAAACAAACGGAGCCACAAAAGAAGAGTATAAACCTGAAACACAACTTGATGCAATTTTATTTTATATAGGTAAATTGAAGTTCTTACCAATTTGTGCAGGTAAGTCAGCTACACTAGAATAGGCAATAGCTTGTGGGATTATAGTAAGTCCCACTGTTAATCCTGCCAGGAAATCTGATATTGCTTTCTTCCATGTGTATTTTGGTAAGTAATCGAATATGGGTACTCGTCTTTTTATTGTTTTCAAAGTACACGTTTTTCTTATTTGCTTCTTCAGCCATTTTGCGATTGTAATTTTAGGTTCACTGGTGGCACTATTGGGTTTGATGTCTTCGGATAAGTCTAATGTGTCTGAAATTTTCATGTTCGTTTGTGAAGATGGGTTTTTTAAATAAACGATTTTAATGGGGCTATTATTTATTAAAAATACAAGGCTAATGTTAATAGATAAGGTAAATTGGCATTAAAAACTAATGAGCCCAATAGAGTGAGTCAGATACAATGTGTCTATATGTCAAGAAAGGACTGCAAACAAAATGGAAAGTACTCATTGATGAAATGAGTGCAAGTAGTTAAGGAAAATAGTTTTTGTGAAATACCTAAATAAATTTTTCCAAAGCAAAATATATAAAATGATGCTTTCATTCTATTGTCGACTGTAGTACAAATATGTAATAGCAAAATTGTTGTCCAAAGTATATACTCTATACAAAAATATGTAGAAATGGCTTGGCGGATTTGATATAAAAGGTACCTAATCTTTGAAAAATTAATATTATGTAAATGAGAAAAAGGGCTTACGTTTGTTTCCATTTTGTATCATATCTTCATCCATATTTACTTTAGCTGTTTTCTCATTATTTTTATTCACATCAAACTGCTGAAATATATTGACAATATTTGCAGGATCCTCAATGATGTAGGAAGTCAGCACAACTTTATTGTTTTGGCACTTCATGTTGGAAAATTATTTTCTAATTTTGATTTTTTGACTCAGGTATTCTCTATGCATCACGAACACTTGCGTGTGTCATTTGCTATATTAGGAAAATTGAAGTATTAATTTAGCAAAATTGCACTGTCGTTATTGGTAAAAAATAAAATTGCATGGGTACTTACCGAATATCGCCTTGCACTACGAAATTCAAAATAAATTAAAACGTTAATTTGCCGATTAATGGGCCGAAACTTTTGATGGTTTGATTTGTTTTGATGGACTAAAGCGTTGCAAGGTGAAGCGGTAGAATTACTTGTTTTTGATGGCCCTTGGAAAACCGCAAACCGTATCCTATTATTTCCGTATTATTATTTTCCTCATTGATTTTTTGAAATATTGATATTGAATAAAAATAGATATAAAAGACCCCGCACTAATATTATGGAAAATGGCCTTTGGTGAAATTTTCTAACACTTGGATATATTGTACTCCTGGATATAATGATAAAATTATCATTGGCACAAGAAAATCCAACGGAGCCATTTTCGAGTTTTGGTGAGTTGAAAGATATCAGGTGCAACACACTTCAATTTCTTTCTTTATAAAAATATAGAAATAACATTCACAAACATTTGCGTATATTGACGGCACGTATTCGTACGTATACATAAAAGCAGTAATTTCCTGATAAGGGTCATTATTTGCTAAAACCCGAATTGATTGTAGCTCCCAACGGGTATACTTGAAATACAAAGGCCGTATTTCTCGCGAATTTGAGACAAACACATATGGTATGAGGCAGTAAATTCAAGAGGGCCATATTTTCATAGTATAGACCGAGGATATTGAGATGCTGGTCCACTGCTTCAAGGCGTAAGCATTGTCGGGTACTGGGTTCAAATCCTGGTCGAGGCAACAAAATTATTCATCAGTTATTGTAATTAACGTCTGCATATGCCACTAAACTCATTGACACCCTATAAATTATATCACAGAGGATAAAAAAACTAGAAAAATTAACTAGTGTGTGCTGCTCAACGTCCAATGGAAAATTCACAAATGGCAAATCGAAGAAAGTGACTCAACATTACGGTTAAGGCTATCAAGAGCAGCCCTGTGAAAACACCAGAAAATCAATATCCGAATATAAAGTCCTGATAAAAAAGAAGTCTCCTGAAAAACAACCCTTGGAAAAGAAGTCGCCTAATAAAAGTAGTCCTTTGGTTTCTGAGTTTCCTGCGCTAATTAGAAGGTCGCCAATTAAGACTGGGCAAACAAATTTCTGAGTTTTTAGCGCAAAATAGGAAGTTTCCAGAAAGAAAACCATTGGAACAGTATCCTGAAAGAAGGTTTGCCAACTAAAACTGGTCCAACAATTTCTGAGTTTTTGGCGCAAATTAGGAATTCTCCAGAAAGAGAACCATTGGAACCGTATCCTGTAAGAAGCTCGCCAACTAAAACTGGGCCAACAATTTCCGAGTGTCCGTCACAGATTAGAATTTCACCAGGAAGGGAAACATTGGTGCCTTATCCTGAAAAGACATCACCACCTAAAACTGCTCCGTCAATTTCAGAATTCCGATCACAAATCAGAAAATCACCTGAGAAAGTTGTCCCAGAAGCCCCATCCTGAAAGAAAATCTCCTACCAAATGTGGTCCAACCTTTTGCGAGTTTCATCGCAAGTAAGAAAAAGTCCTGAAAGACAAGCTTTAGAATCGTATCCTAACAGTTTAAACCTTAGCTAATACGTAATCGCCTGAACCTGAAAATATTACCAAAACAGCAGAAATGAAACCAACTGAAATATCACAACCAAAGAAGTCTCCAATATATGAGGCCTATCCTGTAAAGAAATTACCTAAAAAAGGAGCACCAACCATTGCAGAATTTTCATCTCACGCCAGAAAGTCTCCGGAATCGCAAACTTATCCAGAAAAGAGAGCACCGCGAAAATATTCCGCAGGCATTTCAGCCGTTTCTTCTCAAATTACATCTTTGTCCAAAAACAAGAAACCTAGAAGAGATTCGGAATGTTATACATGTGGAAAGAAGATAGTGATGATGCCGTCTCAAGCTCATAAATAAACAAAAGCCACTTTGCAATCAGTACATATGTTCCAACTCTAGATTCAGAAAGAAAAAAAAGAATTCTATCCATCCACATAGAACCTTAACAAACATCCCTCGATCAGACAGATAATTATTTTGTCAGATGACTTCAATTCTCGAGTAGCCTTCTGAAACTGCATCGAGGGTATAGGCAAAAGTGATGCAAATAGAAAACATGCTCAAAGCACAACTTCGTCATCCATCACAAATACTCTCTCGTCAAAAGAATAAACAAAGTGAACGTGACAACATCCAAGATCAAAGCACTGGTATCTCATTCACGTGAAAATAATTAGAGTTAAAATTCATGCTGATAACTCCCTGGATTGATTGACTCTACAAATAAGTACCACCTACCAAAACGATAGAAACAAAGTCGTTTCCATAGCGCAGGTTAGAGCGACGGATAGATGAAGAAACCCCATACTTCCAGTTCCTACCGATTGAGAAATAGTCTATGTTGATTATTCCGACGATCTTGAACACCACTGGTCAATGCCTAACAGCTATGCTAACAGCCTACGAAGAATTAACACGTTATTACTTCAATGGGAGACATCAATATTGGTTTGATGAGAGCAATAAAGAAATTCAGAATGTCTGAGGAAGAAATAAACCTATATTCATGCAAAGGCTGAAGGAACCTATGGTCCCTAGAAAAAGTTCTAGTAGTAGGGACACAGCTAATAATACATAGTTCCGCCTCTATTAAGTCCCAATGGAATTTGAATTTTCAGAAACTGCAGAAGAGAAAATATAAGGTCCCCCTAAAACCCAGTCAAAACCATCTTGGTGACGTTTCTTCCTATCAAGAGGTGGTCGAACATACACATTCACCGAGGCAATTTTCACGGATTTGCCTGACTTAGTGCAAGACAAATGCAACAATGAAGAAGAATATTCAGGACCGGCGATCAAACAGTATCTATTTGAGGAAACCAATTCTACCATCAATATGCTTATCCAACACCAGGCCTGCATCGTCGAATATGTAGGTATTTGGATTTTTTTTTAAAACTATTTGTACAAATGGGAGAAAAATAAAACATGTCTTACACTTATATCATTTATTTATTTTAATCAACATTAAAAAAATTTAAAAACTGCTTATTTTTGTTTTAAACTAAAAATCGTCATCGCTATTTGGTTCCGGCACCTTGGTACTAGTTTTTCTCCCAGACGGTGCCACCACTCTGTCCATTCCAGACAATTCCAGAGCTAAAGACTCGTCATCCGAGTGCATTAGCTCGGGCTCTTCCTTATCAACGAACAAGTCGGTTTCCGAGTCACTACTCAGATCCAGTGAAGATTGGCTGCCAGATAACGGCGGTTGCATGGAGCCGAAAGGTCTACCGCGTGATTTACGGCCTGCAGTGCCTGCTCTAGGTCTTTCTTGTCTAGGTCCACGTCTTTCATCGGGCTCATCTATTCCCAAAACGTCATCATTCATTTCGAATTTGTCTAGAGGAATTTTAAGTACTTGTGGCGAGGTTAGTTGGAGCTGTTTTTGAAGCTGGATTCTTTCAGAGTCGGTAAATTGTTTTTCGAGTTGATTGAGGCAACGCAGCCTGACAGAGTATTGAATAAATAATTGCTCTAGCTCTTGCTCAAGGGCTGTGAATTCTTCAAGAAATGCCGGACGAACTTTCTTTAAAGTTTGCAATCTTTTCTCATAGCGATCCAGTTCAATTTTTCTACGTTCGATTTTCGAATCTAGACTTGCTTCAGTTGCAGCCACGTTATCAATTAGCTGTTTGGTTTCCGTTATTTCTTGGTTAATGGTTTCAATTGCTTTTTTGACTCCAGCTTCAACGTCTGAAAGTTCGTACTGACGACCGAGGCTTCTTTGTCTTGCTGACTACGAGAACAATATGTCAGATGTATTTTTTCTTTTCAATTTAATTTGAAAATGCTTACCCTTAAATCAACTTCTTTTCCAAGTAAATCAAATAAAGTAGCTCCGGTTGTAGTTATTTCACTTGCTAATTGTCTGGAGAGCTTTAAGTCACTAATCTAAAAACATAAGAACTATTATTATTGAAGGAAGTCTACAACTGCGAAAGATTGTTCTTTGCTCAAAGATAAATAATTATACCTACACACCTTATCAGATATATCAAAGTCTCTAAAATTAAAGCTTTCTTCATTAATTTGGTCTTCCTCGCTTTCATCCAAATTAACATTTAGAGCATCATAAAGAAGGGTTGTGATTTTAAGAAGTTCCTTCACTGAGTAACCGTCTGATTGGTAAAGACGTTTGGTATTTAGTTTAATGTTGGCTTTAAGAGCCTGAAAACAAGTAGGTATTTAATTATAATTTAGATTGTTCGACAAAGTATTTATTTTCACCATGAAATGTGCAGCGTTTCTAATAAGCTTGACCCGTTCATCTTCAGTACTTATTTCCAATGGTATATTAGCATCCGGATCGAAACGTTTGGACAGCCATACAAGCAATTCGGCTACTAATAGGAAATTCGGTGTTCTGAAGCTTTCCATGGAAACCAAATTTGGGTAGCCAAGAGCTTTAAGCATTTCGACGAGATCTGAAAATGGTAAAGATGGCCGAAACTTGTTGAAAATGTACTTATTATAACTTACTTCTTACATCTCTAAACGACATTTTGAACTTAATAGTATTCAACAGCTGACAAGAAAAGCCCCTTTTAAGTTTTGTTTGTATCGTGTAAAATATAGGGCTGCTATGGCGACACATCGATTTAAGCAAGTAGTGAATTTGGAGTGGGGATTTTACAGGTGCCAGACAATTTTAAAATAATTTTTCATGAAACAAATGTGATCTTATTAGGGGCAGTTTCACTAATAAGCTAACCAAACATTATATTTTTGATAGCGGAGCATCCGAAGAATTAAATAAAGTGAATTTGGCAATGAAATCGAAATTTTACCCATTAAAATTAATAGGTAATTAAAATCAGTTTTGCATGGATATTAGGAAGATTCAAAGAAACAATACCTAATTGATTTAATTATTGTATTGCGGTAATGAAAAAAATCAGGTCAGGTGATGCTTGGTGCCTAGTATTTTTCAATGGCAAACATAAATGAGGATTTTTTTGCAGTTTTGTTCAATGAGAACCTAATAGAACTTGCCCTTTGGAGTTTTCCTGGGTGGTCCGAGGCCGTCTTATTGAAACAATAGTGATAAAAATAGATCAAAATTAGGTAACAAAAAAAAAAATTGTTTAGCGCACGCATAAAACTAAAAAAAATTTCATCCGGCTCTCTGCGGTGGTAAAGTACCCAGGATGCAAGCGGCATTACCCTGCTGAATCGCCAAACTAAATCGTTAATTCAAAACAACGACTCTCTTGCCATTTTTCCTAAATTTTCTGAGAAGTTTCCGAAACAAATTTTTTTGCTGATGGACCCCAAGATCCCAATCTGTCTACACCAAAAGGGAAGAAGATGAAGCGTTCAAGCAAATTCTCATATTTTTGCACCTTTCTATATCTTCTGCTGCTTCAGCGGAGCCACCGGCTGATGACGATGAGACGATATTACTTTGGCTAACAGTATCTACACATGTAACATTACTTCATGGACCATAAGTGATACCATCCGGCCGTTTCCCATCAAAACGTGAGCAACCAGGTGGTTCCAATAACGATGGTATTCCTGCACTTCTTAAAGCCCTTTGCAAAACATTGTTCAACGAAGTGTGACGACTAAGACGACCCGCAGTCATCTTTCCACAGGATAAACCGTGGTAACCCCACTCATCCACCCTGGTTCCACAATGACAATAGTGGGGTTCGCAAAGCTTTGTACCAAGTCGAAGGCCAACAGCAATACGAAAAGTGTCGGTATATAAGAGTGTTCCTAGAGTAGCTGCTGGTAGAGCATATAAAAATGCCCCAGACTCAGCAGAACATTCAGCCAATGAACGTGCTTTTCGTTTTGTACAGGATTTTCTTGAGATCGTGATAACAAACCTCCACAACGTTTCAACACGATAGGTTGGTCCCATCTCTTTTGTAGCTTACGTTCAATAAATTCAGGTACATCAAGAGCCGGTTTATCTTTCCACAATTCCAAAGCTTCTGCTGAGTACGGAACTACATTGAAAGGTGCTATGTTTCTTGTTAGCACGCCGAGAACATCAGCCACGGAATGAACCGAAGCCAAAAAGGTAGGAACAGCTAGTTCTTCCGCAGGAACGTATTCTCAAACCAGCCAACTTAACAGGTAGAGTATAGCAACATGCCAAAGTTTCCAAGTTCATTTTTATGAGTAATCGTTTCAACAGCGACTCTTAATTGATCAACGAAAGCTCGTAGTGAATCTATCTGGCGAAAGGATGGATTAGTGCGAAGTATATAAATTAACTTTGGAATACTATAATAATGACGAAGTAGATATAAGGCTTGTTGAGAAGGAATAGCGTTGAAATGAGAGCTCATGAGAGCGAGTTCATCAATTTTCTTTGCGATAATGCTAGATGCAGCCTCATCAGTCAAAGGACTACTTAGCAGTGACAAATCTTCCTTTGTCATAAGGGTTTTTACCCATGAGAACTTTTACTCAGGAGGTCGAAATATACAACATACCAAAATTTGGTTAAATTCCGCGTTCAACCAAAATCCCATAAGAAGTGTGCGGGGTCCTTTAATATCTGCCGAAAAACCATTCAATTCTTCTTCGATTCGACGACGATTCAAAGAAGAACCACCATATATAAAAGCTTCACATTTTCCCCAGTTCAATTCCAAGCCATATTCGTCTTTTGCTGAGGCAATAGTTTGAATATCTTGGAGAACGGTGTCTGGAGCTCCACCCAATACAGCATCGTCCAAATACCATAAAACCAAGGCAGAATTTGATCGTTGTGTTAAAGGTGCTATAGCAATGCAGAATCCTAGAGGTGCAACTGGATCACCTTGTTGGAGTCCCCAAGCAGAATCGATGGTGTATTCAAGGTTTCTTAATTGAAAAGGGTAGCGATATTGTTGCCAAAAAAATTGATAATACTCGGGAATAAGGTCCTATACCTTGTCAGGAATTAAGGTCTGCTGATACAGTTAAACGCGTTCCGGAAATCTAGTTTCAAACCCGACATTCTGCGTTATCTTTCTCGTTTATGAAAGAACGCGCTGCATGAACCATAGCCTCAGCACACCTTTTCTGCCATAGCCCAATTGAAAGGGGCGAAGTTTAGATCCAACTGAACATTGAACACGAGTGCTGATAACTTTCCCAGCAATCCCAGCCATTCTTCTTATAGTATTTCCGATTGCTATATTGGGCTAATTCCTCCATCTTTTTTCATAAGAGCGCATATTGGAGCTCCGTACAGTAGGCTACAAATACTGTCACAAACTTTCCCTCGGAATCATTAATTCGACTATAGCAGCATAGTGTCTATAGAATTAGTCAGAGAAAAACAAACTGTAATTTGAATTTAGCGTCTCAAAATGCCTCAAAACGACAGCTGAATTCAACAGTTCAACGACGTGTGGTTTCGTGTGAATTGTGTGACATCTGACACTTAAATTTGATGTTTCTTGGAAGGTCAATGCCAGTGCAAATTCTGTGCTCTTAAAACAGTGATGTGTTGCCAGATTGGAAAAACTAACTACGTCACGAACTTTTATTTTCACGTAGGGGCGGGGCTAAGAGGAAATTTAAAAAAAGTAATTCCAGTGTATTGCGGTTATTACAAAGCAACTGATTACACTAAATAGTACGATACGTCGAGTATATCACTACGCAGTAGTTGAAAATCACTTGTATACTACCTTGTGAGCAGGATATTGTAAAATACTTGATAGCATCTTGTGTATTTTCTAAGTATAAGGGTTTTCGTCGGAAGAACGATATGACGAACTGTCAGAATCGTTTGACATAACACCTCGCAGGTCGTCTTAAGGGCCCCACAGACTGCGTTTTTGTTGGACGGATTTGTTCGATGAGCAAATCTGGGAGCGGATTACGAACTCTCGATTCGAACCGAAACTGCCATGGATTTCGAACGCATTCTGATGCATTCGCATAGAGTGCGTTCGAAATCCTTGGCGGTTTCGGTTCGACTAGAGAGTTCGTAATCCGCCCCCCTGGTCGAGCAAAAACGACGCAAAACCGAAGTGTGTGTGCGAAAAATTGTCGTTTTTGCTGGCATACAAAACCGATGCAAATATCTGGCTTCGCCTGATTTTGTCCGTCGGATATGTTCGATATGTCAACAAATCTGAAGTGTGTGGGCTACGAATGTTAAAAACGACGGTCTTGTGTGGTGTGTGCCGTGTGGTGCGTAGCTACGTAATTTTACATTATCAAAATTTAAAAAAAAATTAAAAACTTTCCAATATGACTGATGTTCGCCAAACTAGACCGAGGTCTGTGTGCAACTGCGATCCGTCGTTTTTGTTCGACCAGATCGTTGAACAAAACCGTCAAACAAAAACGCAGTCGGTGGGGGCCTTTATTGATATAACCAAATTTAAGTTTCCATAGGCGGTTACACACGGACGTGGATGTCTGAAAACATGTACGCACATATAGTCTGGCTAGCCAAACGGCGAACTCAAAAAGAATTTGCTGCTATGCCAAACTTGACAGAAACAATAATAAACAAGTTGGTGACTTATTTTTTTTTTTGCAATATGGGCCGTGTAGTATTTTGAAATAGGAAAAAATCCGGCAACATTGCGAAATGATGGGTGTGGAAAGGCGTGATTATTCAGAGGCATGATTCTATTGGTTAGGGTCTGAACGACAGCACCAGTGGCGTGGTTATTCGTGAAACTCAAGAATTTTTTTCCTAATAATTTTTTGGTTTATTTCCTTGGTGTTTTCGGTGCCACTGAACCCAAAGACATGGTTGTCATCAGGCAATGTCAGTTGAGGTGTCAGTGAATATTCTTAGGTTACGCTCCACTTTTCTTCCCCCTTTCGTCTCTACCAAGTTACCACTTGCCAAACTATACATGAACGCGCAAACAAAAACATCAATGTGTATGCAAAATATCGTCGCGTTTTTGAATGTGCAATTTTGTATCCACACTCGGAATACTGTGGCAAGAATAGGAAGACTGCAGTTTTGTGCGAGCGTCTGTACAAAGGCGCCATGCAAGTTGTTGTTTGCACGTTGATGTATGCACGTATATGTATTAAGCCATCCACGCCCGTGTGTAACCGCCCCATAGTTTATTAGTTTCTACGGATGAAGCGAGTTTTTGGCTTTGTCAATGGATGTTAGAACATCTCAAGCAATAATCGCAAAGACGATGTTTGGTTCCAACAGGAAATCACCAAATGTGAGAAATTTTTCAAATAGGACACCTATTAGAAACTGCTGGATTGGACGGAAAGGTTTGATTGAATGGCCTCCTTGTTCGTTAGATTAAAATCCTTTTTATATATTTTTTTTGTAGTAATCCCGGAACCAGGTTTATAAATATGAACCTCACGAATAGGGAATTTTCATATTGTTAGGAACCATTCCTAAGCTTCAGCTAATTGTTGTTGACACTTTTTTGTAATAAATACTCGAAAATTTCAATCAAAAATTACATTTTATTTGCACTGCCCCTTTTTACAGCCTTTCGCCAGACGGCCACACTCCCAAGACAAAGACATATTCCCCCTTCCCTTTTTTCTCCCCCAATAGCAATC